GGATGACAATGTTCACTGGTTTATTATGTACCATCGTAGAGCTATATGTTCATGATAACATGAAACAGATATTGATGTGTGTTATAATATCGTATTTTGAGAGAAGTGGGCAAATATTCTATTCCAAAATGTGAAACAGCAAAACAGCAGTTTTCATCACTTTTTTTAAAAACAGACTTATTTGAAAATAATTAAAAAACAAAAGTACCAATTCAGTCACGATGTGTATTTTGTTCACCCTATGCCACCAGAAAACATTTTAAATTTAGCATATAATCTCTACGTCAACAATCATGGTAACACTATTTTAATATTTTCTAAATACCCACGTAGGTAATCTCCAATTTGTCAACGACCTTCGATTTGCCGAGATACAATTTATTGAAAAATGTATTTGTATTAGTTATGAGTAGGCTTCTAATATACATGTGTATTGGAAATCGTAGTACTAAATACGTGCTAAGCATATAAAGTTCCCCTTTATCAGTGGTATCTGAATAGGTACACTTAAAAAAAGATTTAGTTAAAACGTGTATGATTGAACACAATCGGTATTTTATACTGTTCGTTTTCTAGTCTTTGGTATCAAAATACCATTACAGTATATAGTCATTCCAGCATACATCCGTCTAGCCCTGAGTTCAGATACTAATGATGGAGGGATGGAGCACTGCCCGACACTTTTTGAATGCACACAAAAGACTGCAGTTAGCAAGGATTAGTGTGCAGGTCTTTATGTAATGTTTCTGTAGGCATAGAACGGATGATGCTTTAATCTGTTCGCTATTGTCGGAGAGTATCGGAATGCAGTAGTTTTTATTAGTTTATCTGAACCATACATCCGTGCCCTGACATCTTTTGTTGCACTTTTACTTGCCCTGGTCTAACTTTTAGTAGGTCGAGTCACTATCACCACAACAACAATGTCATGTTCCATTTGAACTTTCCTACATACAATCAACCATTGAATTTGTTGATTTCTCATAATGTCGCATAATGTAATAGTCCGCTGATATTTCAAAGCAAATGTTATTTTCACTCTTGTGTTCGCCTGGCTCCAAGTCATCCGTCCTTTTCAAAGCCGAACGAAGAGCCGACGCTACAGACTTCAATACACGTAATATGACGTACACTAATTCTATACACATGCCGTTCTTTACAATCTTAAACCGTTTTGTAGTGTCTTGTGGGTTCAGTGACCACAAACATGTCCATATCGCTCAGAATTTCCATGGTCGCTGACGTAGTAGGTCACAGAATTACACATGTGAATGCTGTTGTTGTTGTTGTTGTTGTTGTTAACACCATTCCCATAATGCACTAGAAGTAATATTCCCGAATTATTGTTTTATAATTATAAATGTTAATTTACATCTTCATTTATTTACCTCTTTAGTCCACCACCCCCATCAATTGATGCATATCTAAACATTTTTGAATTTATTTGTTCTTCAATTTTGAAATTGTGGCTTCGAGATCATGCAAATCATGCGACTCGTTGGCAAGATCTTTTAAAAAAAAAGAATTCCAAAATTTCAGTTCGTTTGTGAAGTGTCAGTGCAAATGGTTTATTGAACAAATCGTTTGAAATCTACAACACAACATCAAGACGCAGCATCATCGTCAACAACAACAACAACAACAACAACAACAACAATCATTCCGGTGTACCCAGACAGCCAACATTACCCATTAGGTTTGCAGTCTACGTGGCGAGATACCAATTCAAAATTCTTTCCTTAGTAGGTGTTATCCCACTCTGCAATTATCCTTTCTTTGGAATAACTCTAGCTATTTTTTCTCACCCAGCTACACTATTTTATTTTAGTTGTTAACTTATTCGTGTATTGTTTCAACCAATTTGTATAGAATTTCTTCTTAGTCGAATAGTTGTGTAAATAGTTTCTACTCGTAAATCATTAGCTGCCAAATTAAATAAAGTGAACTGACCGGCTGATTGATTGACTCGCTGAGTAAGTGAGTGAACTGCTGTCGTGTACTTTGCCACCGCTATTAATCACAGAAACAGCAATTGTTTATCCCCGTGTCGCTCCACGTACGATATATGGAATGAATTACTGTCTATTCCGGGGGCGAAAACTGTCAGGCCGTCTGTCATGTTACACCTCCCTCCTGTCTGATAAAACAAATGCTTATGTGCGGTTAAAGGATTTTGAACATGGTCAAGTTTTGTCCTAATTGTGTAACTGCCATTCCTGGTTCGTACGTCAACATTTATTCAAAGCATGTTTCACATATTGAGTCCGCTAGTTCTCAGGTCGTTGTGATTTGATGAATACAAACATACACCTCAGAATCAGAACGACCGAGATAAAAAATAATGAAATAAAAATAACTTCGTTTGAGTGTCACTGGACGTCGTTTCATACATGATTTAATTGCCCAGTTTTCAATTCTATCACGATTTGTGACTACATAATTATGGTCAGACCGTTATTCAAGAACTTGTTATATCGTGTGGCGTGTGGCCTATGTACCTGGTAATTTATATGTATGACATCGTAGCTGTGCCACTACTCCAAGACACCGTTGTGTTTGAGACAACACACATTACACTATCAAACTACAACGAGTCACCACGGTGTCTCAAAATACGTAACGACGTCATATTGACGATTGCAATGCTTGATAATCGGCGGACTACTTCAAACGTTTCAAGGACGCGTTTTTTTATTTGCTCGTTTTCGTCATCCATGAAGATTGTAGTAGACGGTAATATCCATATAGAGGATTGCAGCAAGGACCCATATATATATATATATATATGACTTTGCCTGGATGACTATCAATAGTACGCAATTTACTTTCAGACACTTGGGTATGTTACAGCCTGGGTGGACATATTTGTTCGAATACAAAAATGCATGTTTTACTCATTTGAAAGGAGCTATTGAAGGATGGCTGTTGTAATACTTATGTCATGTGATCCGCAATCCCCCCCCCCCTTCCCCAACAAATCTATATAATAGTTGCACTGTGTGAAATAGTTCGTGGTCTGAATTTGCGTGAATTGTGAGAAATATTTTTTTTTAATTTTTTTTTATTTCAATATTTGTTGGCGCCTTTGATTGAGGGCGGTCGTGTCGGCTTCCCGTTTGATTAGAACGTGGTATTTGGTGATCGTAGGTAATTATCCAAGGACTACCACGTTCTATATATAACATTCATCGGTCCTATAACCTTTCACATATTTTCAATTTGTTTTATTTAATTGGTTGTTTTTCAATTTTGTTTCTTTGAATTTCATAAGCTAATGCTTGAATTGTGTTCCCACCGGGCACGCACGGATTCACGGAAATTCGCTTCTTTCCCAGATTACAACTGGAACTTTCTCTCACCTCGGCCCTCTTGGAAACAAAATAAGTACAAAATAAGGAGCTAAATATAAATACAATAAATATAAATATTTTCTGCCTGCCACAATACTATCTGGGCAGTTTCAGACAATCAAACATTTCACATAACATAAAATCCCATAACAATTATTTGCCGACTGCTACAAATGTTAACACACATCTAAAATAAATGCCAATATACAATTGTAACTTGTTTTGCACGAAATAGGAATCGCATTCGGCTGGAATTGAGATTTCAAGATGCATTCCAACCGAAACGAGAACAATCCTAACCATTCACTGAGTCATTGTCAGTTTTACGTCCGATGTAAAATGCGATATAATGTCCAGCTATGTCAAATATGTCGTATCGTGTATGCCTGGCACTATTTAGCTTTCAGTGTGAGTGTGGGACAAATGCATGTAGGCGACGTGTGGTCGTAAACAAGGCGGAGAATAAAGAGACATGGTAATTGCTCTCCCTCATCAAGTTGATCATCTGCAATTTGTGCTGTATCAATCTTGTTTGATGTTTGTGTCGAGGCTTACTGCACATATTTGCTCGTGTGAGCGGCCAAGCCCTCATTGTTGTAAATTTATATCAGGCAGCTAAGGCAGTATGCAAAAAAGAGACTATAGTAAGAACTATTCACGTAGTACATGAAATAGATCTATAGGAAGTTCTACAATTAATGGCCTCGGAGAAACACGTCAACAAGTAGAGGTGTACATGTTCCCGGGTAATAGCGAACATGGAAAGTAGGTGAATACTGATATCCTGGAAATAGTCAACGGGAGACAGGAGTGGGAGGGTTGCTTGGGAACGAGGGTATCTTATCACGCGACAGTGTAATCTGAATCTCATGGAGTCAGAAACTGAAGCCGGAAAATGCTAATACTCGTGGTAAAATGGGACGATGAAGGGCTGATTGATGCTGAAATTGATGCTGATTCCGTGAAATCTAGAATCCTTAGGAAGCGGCTACTTGGACAGGAGTCGTAACGGAACGGAATATGAAACAGAAATTTCCGGGAATCAGACTTTGGTGCAGGAATTCCTGGAAATGAAATTCCGGGACAGAAATGATACCTATAACTAGTATCTATTGAATGGTTTTCGCAATAATCGATAACAAGTGGGGTATGGTGTGTCAGCAATTCGAATAAACGGAAGGTTCAGTCAAGGGAAGATAACACTGCATATAAACACTCACCGTGACAGGTGGTATTACATACTTAGGTACCACCACCGTGCATGCAGTATAAGCACACAACACGATACGGTACACCTACTAGTACACGGTCGAACATAAATGAACTTTTCAGTTGTCTTTTAGCAAGTTATCACTGTAAAGTGATTGAAACATTCAAAGAAATGAAATCATGTTATGCTATATGCATTTATAGTTCGCAATACTCCCCTACCCGCAGAAATCTGACTTCCCCGCGGTACCTGTATATACATCTATTTCTGTCCAGTACCGCCGCATTCACGATGACAATGGACATATGTGAAGATACACACTTCGATATTGTGACAGAAAACAATACGTAACAAAATAACGAATATTAGTTATTACTATAACATATCCCGGACCAGCATAAGGTCTTCCAGTTCATTTGACGATAGACCCTCTATCTGTAATGGCATACCCTGGGAGCAGACAGAAAAGAACTACCAAAGTTGAGTTCCACAATTGTTTACGGGAATGGAAAGATGGCGTCGATACGGAACGAGCCCAGTGGGTAGGACAGGAAATCACACGCAGGTACGTAGTGTTTCATGACTTGATTTGAGGGAGTAAAAAATAACAGTTTAAGCTTGTAACTAACTCTTCTTTTAACCAACCTTTAAAGACATTTATATAGTCATTGTTTAAATTGGATAAATCGAAAGAACGGGAATGGGGATGTGTGCAAAAACATGAATGGGGGGGGGATTCTAATCCTTACTTTTCTGAGTATTTTGAGAGATCACACGAAGGGAGACCCCCGACTGAATACACCCAGAAGCGCCATAATACCAAATTAACGGTGACTATTCCATTCATATCTGGGTTAGATGATTTCTAATTAATTTTGAAACATAATCAGAAATGTACAGTTATTAAAATATCTTATGTTCACTAACTTTTACATTTAGTGGCTGTGGTGAGTTGCATTTATCACTTCAAATATGACTAGCACACGATCGCAAGTCTGATTTATTTAATCTGAAAATACCACCGGTGATTGTACCAGTTTGGGATTAGATAATATGGTTGGCCTGGTATACGGGTATCGCCTACCGCCATTAATCACAATACGTCAGCTTTGCAAGGTGACACTAGACGCGCCAATCACATGAAAAACGATCATTTTACTCATGACATCACATATCGTGATTAATTGCGCGATTTGTAGTGACATCATTCGACACAGTTTCAGTGCGGCGAGAGTTGCACCATGTCTCTATCAGCGGACCGTCCAAATTCAGGGCGAGGACACATTGCATTATGTCATGCAGATACCACGTGATATTGACTGATTGTAGTGTTTCCATACACATTGGCAAACGTACACTCTTATTACGTCAACAGGTGGTTTATTTCTTCAGACAGCATACGATGTGTTTTCGCTAATACATTAATCTTCATGAACCACACGCGGTTACGAGCTTCATTGTAAATTAATTGGTTTGGCATTTGCTCTAACACGTGTCTGAATTTACGATATTGAAGTGTGTGTGTGTGTGTGTGGGGGGGGGGGGTTGTTGGACATTATTGATCTTAAATACGTGCTTTAAATATGTGAAGTTTGTTCTTTTTGTATCGATTTTGTAAGCATCAAACTAAATAATATGATATATGATTTCCTTTCCCCAGACGTGAAAGGCTGTCAAATATACTGACAGGCCAGGATGCTGTTGCGACGGACGCTATTGAAGCGTTGAGGCTGTACCTAGAAATGCCTGTACAAGAACTAATTGATATGGTAAGATGTGTGTATAAACAAGATAGATTATTTGCTTAATTTGCTGCACTTTTCGTATGACTCACTCCATGGCACATGCCATGTGGTAAGTAATTGAAATCCCATGGAAATTACAATATGGTATCATAAGAAGGATTTGATTTCTCAAACAGACAATGCCTAGCACCGTCGCAGCCAATCTGATAACTGCGGACAGTAACGGCACGTAGACACGGGCATGGGAACGCGTAGGCGACGGTCAGAATAAATCAGTTACTCGTCATATACGTGCAGACAGACCACCTAAAGAATGCTGTAGTATCATAAGACGAGCTTCGGTTCGTGATGCGGACGTGCGTGTATAATCGCGTACCGCAGAAATAAACAAATGCTTCAGAGTCGGGATTTAATCGCAAATAAACAACTTTTTTTGTTTTACGTATGTTCGGGGGCACAACAAGCTGCACATCGACATGTATATTAGTTGTAACGCGGAGTTCCACGTTTAATTGGCGTACCAAATAATGCAATGTTTTAGCACGTTAATCAGAAAGGCAACTTTTCCCGTATATTGCACGCTTTGTAAACCCGGTCCAGGCGTTGACCTATGCACACATACCCTCTATACAGCCAACAGTGACCATATTGTGTGCTTCCGTTTTCTTTTCAGGCGCAGGGCGAGTCAAATGCAAGGTGAGTCATCGTACCATTGCTGCCATTACACATCAATATTAAGACTTAGTACTTAGCCATTAACCGATTTGTAATGTATATAAACAAAGTAACAGAGTAATAAAACCCTGGGAAAACAAGACGTGCCTTGCACATCGCATTGCACTCTGTCTCCTCCTGGCCACGATTACTCGCTGAGAAAATCAATACTAGACGCATTTTAAGACTTGAACACAATCTAAAATAATAGTAAGCGATGTCTTCGCGAAGGACTTTGGTAATTTGATTACTCGGGAGAATTGCATCAGATCAGGTGTTCTCTACAGCTTAGTATCAGTGTGCTGACCGACATGTCAACACTTTCGCACGTTTTATTTTGTCCATCTGGCCTTGAATTGACAACAACTCCGTCATCTGTGGTGCACAATGACGTATTTTAGTGACCTCATTATAGGTCAAATTGTTTTCTCCCATGGTAACAATTCAAACTACATTTTGTGTATTTGTTTTATGTACCTTTCTCCACAAAATATCTCTTTTACAAAAAAAAAACCCATTTATTTATTTTGGGGAGAATTCCAATCGTGATACGTGCAATACTTGTCCTTATTTAACAATGGCAAAAATATACCAAAGTTAACTATCGTTTTAAATCTCTTAGATTTTACTGGCTGAACATAATCGGTGTGGAATATACTATTAGATACGATGATGCTCAATTTGATCGAGCGTCAATGATGATGAAGACGGCTTTGTGGCTAAGGCAACGTGGTCTTGTTATCCTCGCTGTAAGTATTCAGTGTACTCATTCAACATATGCCATTGTTTCCCAGAGTAGTAATTGTCAGTATGCACTTATATGTACTGTGCGAGTTTTTAAAATAAGATATCACTCTCTTAAAATCGGCTACATATCAAAAATCTGAAGCCCATATACAAACAATAAAGCGCTGTGCATATGCACGAGATATTAATCTAATTTAAACCAAACCCTGGCCCCGGGAGTGGGGAGGGGTTATTCGAACCAGGTAAAGTTGGGTCCCCTATCCTGCAAATGGGTTTTCAATCTCACTCCTATGTTCGTGTTGTTGCATATAAACTAATGCCCATCTTCGCGTACAACGTTTTCCTGCTGTTATTTCAGAGAACATTCCACGTAAATCTCTAGATATAACGTGCCTGGTAAATATAATGTACCCCAGCACAATTTACGCATTGTTTCAAGGTTGCGTGTCCAACTTTTAGTCGAGTGCCCTCTGGGCCAAGTCTCAGCCACGGGCAATAATTCTACGGACTTTGTATTTCGGTCACGTTTCCTTCTTGCCAGAAAGAGGGAGAATAAGGACGAACGTGATGGTGGTTGTTATTTGAATCATACATTTGCACGTTTTCTCAACCAGAACTAAATGCTATAAACGTGGCTTGTGTGGAAAGGACCGAACAAAGACCGGGTCCCTTTGAGATATCACTCCTATCAGTTGTACATGCACAATATACCGAATTCGCGATTCGGTAGATAATACAGGAAATCGTTCGATCTAATGTATATTTATAGAAGTGCAATTAATAAAAGTTGTTTCAAATTAAATATAAATTTTACAAATTTTACTGAAAACCAGTGATTTTCTTATCTCCACATCCTGCTTTTTGGCCCCTATATATTGGAGGTGCATTCTCTCATAGGGACTCGCTACACGAAAATGCTAACGCAATCTTTGTTGAAAACTTATATTGCCCGAAGAGAATGTTACAGTAATTGGATATTTCGGTTTCACACATTGCAGGACCCGGAAAGTGTGCTCTGGGCTGCAGGTGTATTTGACTGCATACAAGAAATGGATTTGCCGTTCAGATCTCCTGACTTGTATGGTAATTGATTATATTTTTCTTGTACATCTTTCATTTCATTTTATTTTATTTTATTTTATTTGTAAACGACCAAAGTCGTCACGCATCCGAACAGAACAGGACGTGGCGTAATGACGGAGGTACTGTAAGTTGAAGCGGAGGTGTCGTCACATGCGCATGCGTGGGAATGAGGTGGCGAATCCTGACTTCAACTATAAATATAACACTAAAATGCAAAAAAAAAAAAAAAAAAAAAAAATGTATACAAACGCAAAATGTTGGCACTGCCTCCGCCATTTAAAGAACATCTTTATTTTGTTTTACCAACAGTAAAAGACATAAGAGCCTTGTCATCGCAGTGTTCCGCCGAAGCTCTGGTAAGTGAAACGACTTTTGCTATGCAAATGAGGGCGCTATAAAATAACGTATCCCCCATCTTATCGTGTGTGTGATACTGTAACATGAAATGTGTGATTGGTTTTAACTGTGGTGTATTTCATTCGCGATTACAGTTTCTTAAAGTACGAGAAAACCGAGAGTTCCTATCACCAGATAGCTGCTTGGACACCGCCATTCTTGCTGCAGAGAAGTTCCAAGAATCGACAGAGCTAATTAATGTAAGCCAACTAACACATAATGCAGATCAACTCTGTTTTATTCAAATACTGGTGTATTATCTTCCGAGGTGGCATATACGAAGTCCAATTGTATTACCAACGTTTAAACTAAACACATAAAAGAATGTCCGTCAAGAACCCTACATCGAAGTTCATACCTAAGATAGCCTACACAGTCACAAAAGCAGTAGGGTCCCTAACACCAGCACATACCGGAACACCAAATTACGCAACAAGACATTAATATACACACGGTCAATTAAAAATAATAATTAAAAATATAGTTTGTATATAGAAATAAATATTAAATATCTCGACGCATATCGAATACAAACTCTTAAATTACCAAATTTGCCAGGTAATTGTCACTATCTGTTGCATAATATTACTTGACATTTTTCAGACACAGAACAAAGGTGGTAAAAAATGGAAGACTTTCGTTCATTTCAAATGTAAGTAACATTGAATGTGATATGTTAAATTATCTAAAGAGAAAATTTGTTTTATTTATTTATTATAACCACATCTATGCGAAATAAGCAAGCCTGGCCATCGTACAGTGCACCAACACAATACTGACCACATTCTATCAATGAACATATATAAACTATCGTTTAATACTACTCAATTTCATTACGTTTTCAGATCATCTTTGCAGCGCTTACGCGCGGACACTTCAATCGTTGACATTTTCACAAGCCAACAGGTGGGTCAACGGATTATAGCTTAATTTACGTATTTTCAAAATAACGCTAAAAATAAACGTAAATAATAAATTATTTGGGTAATATTTGTTATATCTGACATAATCGTGTATATTACAGGACCAAAGAGAGTGTGGCATCCTTGCTAGAAGGAAGAGATCACATGGAAAGGGCAAAAGAGGAATCCGAGGTATGTTCACAGATTATTTCCCTTAAATGTATCTCATGAATATGTCTATATTTTAAAATTACATATATTAAATAAACTTTCCCGCGATCATAGCTACTAAATTCAATGCTCTTCATCATTAAGAATTAGTAATATACTCAATAGTACGTCTATTTGACTGGATTCAGCTGTATTTATGTGTGTTTGATCGTAACGTATCTTTATCTATAAATAAACAGGATTTCGACCGATGTGACCCCGAGTCTTCAGTGTATCTGTCGAAAAGTGAAGAGTTTCGAAGGTAGGTTTGAATAGTAACACTACCCACGTGTGATGTGGGTCAGTTTGATGATACAAAGCCAGAAGATGCCGTAGGTGGCGTGGGTGGATTGGATGATATGCGCAGCCTTGTCCTTATTCAATTGTGCAATATTTGCATTTGATAAATAGATTAAAGTTCACGAGTACACCGTAGACGTGTTTACAAGTCATATTGTTTTTTTTTTTAAATGCGGGGCTCGGTTAAAAATTCGTGACCATTCGCGACCATCGTATAAAGATCGACAATAATTAAGATCAAACATCGCATAACGCATCCTTTACCCCTTTGGGCGTTTTGAGCATCAGTAAACCAAATACGCGCCCTTGGATGTCTCTCCTAATTAGATTATTGCAAATGTAACCAGCTTTTATCTGTTAGTATACAAACATGAAGTCCATATTATATAAATTATTTGAAACCGTGGCCAATCGTGGTCATCGCATAATGATCGAGGATAATCGTTTTAACATATCATTTAACACACCCTTTTGCTAATTGAGTGTTCTGCTTTTTATCAATGTAAACGAGATTACGCTCCCTTTGTAGATTTAACATGATTAGAGTTAACAAATGACTGATATGACCCATATGACAGTCCGCGTCACCGTAAAGAACGTTGACCTTATACAGATAATATGCGTTTTACCGACACAAAGTTTTGGCGGCAAGTTGGTAAAAATGTAAATTACTTTGTTCGACGGTTTTGAACTGGATTTGTTTTGGGATGATATTGTTTTTCTTCATTATTTTTGCAAAAAAACTTTCCCAGTCAATCCCTAATAAAATAAATATCGCCTGGCGTATCTATGTAATGCGAACATTAAAGCGGTTAATATGATAAAAGATGTCATGTGATACGTAATATCTCAGACGACTAATAAAATAATTAGTGGTCTGAGGTATTGTCGACTATTCGTGGCTTTTTTTAACATTTTGACATATGACGAAAGATCATTTGTCGAGAGTAAATTGACTGTCAAAGTCACCGTGAGGTAGCTATAAGTTATGTGTCGAAATGGGCAAAAACACCGTCACGGTCCTGGCGTTTACTTTTATTACACCCAGAACACTCAAAGAGGTAAAGGGTGTGTTACTGGTAGTATGTATATCGACTATTCTCGACTAGTTTGTAATGGTCACGGATTGTTAAATCAGATTTTCCACAAATATCAGATTGATTTTCTTTTTACTAAAAACTTAAGTGACGATGAAATCTTGCACAGTGTTCATTATCATGTTCAAGTTCTCTAGTGTCGGATAGCGCCCTCAAACGAGTCACTTTTATGTACCGCCATAATATACATACACCGTAATACGTTAGTTATATAGCATATTTACTAACTCGGTTTCCAAATCACGTTTTTCTTGAATTTCAGAATTGAATTTTTAGTTGAGAAGAGAGCGTCCGAATGTGAAAAAGACTACAATAAAAGCATTGATCAGTTACCGCCAATGGTGGTGAGTTTAAGTTGATTGTTTTCTAAATATTTATTCAGATTTTTTTTTTCAGAACTTGGATTGTATTTAAATCGATATTGTCTGTTTGTTTGTTGAGCAGCAACTTCTTCCCTTGGACACGAGTTCGAGCACAGGCACTCTGGACAAAAGATTATTCAGACTACCTGCAGTACAAGTTGACACGTAAGTACTTGTACATCGGCCGTTGGTGGCGCATGCTAATTTCTTTTAGAAAATGTGTACCATTTTGAAGACGGGGTACAGTGATCAGTTTATTGGACTAGGATTCAGTAATCGAACCCATGACAGTCATCTTATGCTCTTGCATCTCCGATGACGATATCTACAAGTCTAGATATAAATTATACATATATGACCTATAACATATCCATAACAGAGAATATGAAGGTTTTTAAAAATGTTCATTTAATTATTATTATCGGGATTTTGTGCGTCGATGTTTTCAAGTTCACTGTCTGCCAGTCCTAGAATTCGGCAGCACGAGAGCTTAAGCTAGAATGCGCAATTCGAATAGAAAATTTACATAAATATTTATCTTATTCTACAGGTGGCTAAACTCGCCTGAAAACGAAAGAACAGGTGAGAATTCCGATTAGTTAAGATTAGTTACAAGTAAACCTCAGATAACGATATTTGATGTCTAGGGTTAGACTGGCGAGGCGAGAGATATTACTTGGTACACGTTTCCGCTCGTACCATGCTGTGTCAGATTGTCTGTGCAATCAAGCGCCTTTAATTGTGGAGTATTTATAAATGTTGCACACATTTTACCATAACAAGGACTGTTTTGAGATAGCTCTGTAACCGTGCACACACACTATCTTGTATACTACACGAGGTGAGCGTTGTGGAAATATGACACGTGTGTATACTTTACTAACCTCTAGTTTATTTCGTGTGAATAAACAATTTAAATATCAAAATCTCTGTGAATAAGATACAAGATAGATTACAAGATACCGGTAGATTACAGATTATCTCAACTCGACCCGGAAATAGTGTACGTGTGTCACAGGGTTACTTAGACCATGGAATTACCTCCATGCTTAGACTGGCAGTGTATATACTTCTTTGCTACTAGCTCAATGAACTAGTCTGGATGTGGGCGACCTCTTCTTAAAAACCTCTGAACCTTTTGACTTGATTTTTGTTCTGTAGCTGCTTTGGTGGATGTAGTTAGAAATGTGTCCAGGAGAGGTCGACCCGCTAAAAAATATGCAAATTAGCTACCAAAAATTATAAAAATGATTAAATGACTTCCACTATGACGCTATTTGGTCTACATGACTGATATTGATAGTGCACATGCAATGGGTTGACCTTTATCAAGTTTATTAATTTTTCGATTTCCCCCGATTACTTTGATACATGGCATGTAGGCATCTTGGGTAGACCTATGTTAATTTTTTCACTTCAGCGGGAAATCTTTGTTTATTTTAACGAATATTTTCGGTGAAAAAAAACCCTTACCATTTTATGCGTTTTTCCAGGTATTGTTAATGACAGTTCAGACATAAATAGCACAGTCACTGACGAAGAAAAAAAATCTATGTGCGCGAAATGTTGTACAGTTTCTTGTACTACTTATATGCCTTCCTATTTCATTGGTGTTAACCATTGCCTGGTTTGTCATATGGATACTGTTATATATAAGTAAGTAAACCTGTTATTAACCTGTTATTAACAAGCATATTTAAATCATTTTTTCAATGCTGCATCTTGATAAAATCATTGTTATACTGTACATTTTTTTAATAAAACAAAACCCTTGTAAACACATAAGTATTCGGCCTGGGGTTCCCTATATGTACAGGTAATTTTAATCGAAAGTACACTGCTGTATGTAGCCAAACGATTATTTTACTATAAATGATACTCAGAGTATTTTTTTTTATCAAGAGAATATCAAACTTAATTATTTTAAAATGGTCCCAAATGTCCCCTTAAATAAGACAAGAGATAATGGAGATAGTGTTTAAAATGTGTTGAAATGAAAATGTGTTCTTGCTAAAAATATGATACATTAAAAATAGTTATCCTGGCTTCATTTTCACGCTCCTTTCATTTTGAAATGCAATGTACCCGATCTTCAAGCCAGGACAGATTTTCAGAACTCAGACTGTCCAATTACATGTACACAATTATGTAGAATAAAGCAAAGAAAAAGATTGTTTTTTTAACAGAAATGCTGACAAAAATCCATCCAGTCTCCTGCTTTGCTACACTGGCTGCCCGGAAAATCGCAAATTTGTGAACATAAATGGCCGCGTATCTGAATAAATTTACTGTAATTAAACTTTTAATTCCTGTTAATCCCAAACCCTTGGCCAGTCTCCTAATCAGGTTCATTTACCCCCCCAGTAACTTTTTGTGTAAATTAAATCTGATTAAAGTTACTAGTAAATAGTGTGTCACCCGAAATCGAGCCTAACAGAATGTTTTCACACTACAGGTCGATGTTCTCCATGCTGTGCACCCTGCACAAACTGCTTACAGGCAGCATCAAGTCGGCTGTCATTGTTACCATGGAGATTTGCCAAATGGGTAGTTGGAAAATCAAACGACGAGGAAGAGGATGAGGAAAGAAGAATGATTGCCCTTGCGGATAAACCAGAGTATGGTTCACGATGAAACAATAAAACAAAGTCATCTCCGTAACATTCAACTGAGGGCAGTATACAAGTTGTAACAGTGTGAAAAACTCTGCTTCAACCCACGTTGCTTCAACCAGATGGCGGGTGGCATTTGTACATCAGGGAGTTAATATTTTCAACCATAATTAACTAACTCAGGACTAGTGAAAACTATTATCCAAGAGTCATTGTGAAAAATTAAAGTTTGAAAGCCAAGAATGTCACACGCAAAGTTCAACTGATTTTGAATTCTCAAAGAATGATGTTCTGTGTTACTGGACACGAAACTGTGTAATCAAAGGATAGTTCAACTCAACTTGTGTCTTGTTACTATTGTAATGTAACATCTTGCATCTCACAGACTGATAGATCTATTCCAAACTCACAAACAAGGTCATTGCAGATTATATAATAAATTATATGAACTTGTTTGATTTTGACAAAAACAGATACCTTGAATATCAACACAACATTTGTGGAAAGGAGTTTTTTTTTTTTATTTGTAAATATTTATGAATATTGTTGTGCAATTTTTGTTATCAACTAGCAAGATACATTTTCTGTAAATATTAGACTGAACATTGTATCTATTTCATAAAGAGAATCAACATTGTAACTGTTTTGTATAGACATTTATTCACATATTAATATATTCCATCATCAAGAGTATTGCATATAAATGTTATAATAAGAATGTTAAAGACAATAGTTTCATAAAATAATATTGTCAACACTTATGAAACAAGTTATAAATCCCTGAAAATAACCAAAAATGTTCATCCCTGTACTATAAAGAATGGAACAACCCACTTGCATATATAAGTACCCCATAATAGTACATACCATTTTCAAACACAGGGGTTATCGAGGGGCAGAAATAAATCACAACAAAACGCATAGTTAACATTTCTAGAGTAACTAAATAGAGAATGGTTATTACAATATATTACCCAAAATATACATATAATAAGGGTAGAAAAATGTTTGTTTTTTTTGTTCTCTTTCTCACTAAATAATCACCTTTGAAGAATTTACATCCCAGAATAATTTTAACTAACATGTTCACTGCATAATGATTGTAGTTTTAATTACTAAACCCAATTTGTGTAAGTTGCATTGTTAACTATGGGAACTCTATCGTAGAACATTTACATTAGTCAGCAAAATACTAAAGAACGTAACCTGCAATGTGTAAATTGAAAAAAAATACTGTCTAGTTTTCACATTTACAAATTCGTCAGCCCCACGTCTAGTTTATTTAATCATACACCATTTTCTATGGTTTGATAAAAGCACATAAGCACCAGATATGGATTTGAGTTAAAAAAAAAAAAAAAGCTCCATATCACAATTTGTCGACAGTGATCTAATAAATTTAGACCACAAACTTTTCTGACGTAGGAAAGTTTGTTGGATATCTTGATTTCAGTTATTCACTGCTATTCCTAATTAAACAATTGTCAGCCATATTGAATTCAATGCCATGTCGGCCATGTTGAATTTAGAAAATCTGACCCCTGACCTGTCAGCCATTTTGAATTTTGAGTTAACCTTTGACATCATGTCAGCCATGATTGATTCATTCACTTTTTGCATCAACTAATTTGCACAAAAAGATTTAGATAACTCCAAATATTTTCCTCTAAATTATAATTTATTACTCTTCATTGACTAGGCCTGAAAAATCAACATGTTTGATTATAAAAACTATACAAGTATTTTAAAATAGAAAACAAAAATATTTGGGGAAGACAATGATAACGTGAAGTAAGTGTTACGCAGTGAAAAGGTGAGTAAATAACTAACAACCGAACACATGCACCAATATAAATAACTTGATGAACCAAAGTTACATTAAACATGATTTCCATTCAGGGTTTCATCCTGACGTTTACGTGCAATTTATGCATGCAAATCATATCACAACATATAAAACATAATTCGACTATGCTTCAAAATAAGCATTCTTACCATATGGTTGGAAGCACTGGCCAAGACCAAAACTTTCATGTAATAAAAAGAAATTTGAAAAAATAATAACTAAACTTAGATATGCCCCAAATGAACTATGTTAATATCAAATAGTTAAAGTGACACAGTGGTCTTGCTGTGCACGTTAAAAATTTGAATAAACAATGGTTTTAACATGTGATGTATATATATCATGGGACCCACATTAAATATAGACCGGTGTGACAACTGTGGTGTTTTATAATGTAAAACTTTAAAGCAGTATATGAACTGTAAAGACTCATAAAATAAATCGGTAATCGTGTTTATTATTAGTAATCTAATTATGAAATGCATATAAATGCATAATAAACAAAAAATTTTGATGAAAAAGTCCATAATGCTATATTATCTTGTTCATTTCTTCTTGTGGAACACTGATGCGAAAACTCCCTTTTTCTTCTTGTGTTTCTTCTCTTTGGAATCTTTCTCATCTGGTTTGCTGCTTTGTACCGGTAAAGTGGCCGACTTTGATATCTTAACTTTCACGTCCTTTTGTGGAATTGGTTCAGCTTTGGTCAGTGAGCCAGATCGTTCTCTCCTCTTGTCATGTTTGTGTGACTGTACCTCCACAGGGGGTTGATTAAGTGAAGGTGCATGGTGCTGAGGCTGTGGTGGTATCATTGTGGGTGCTTGTCGATGGGGCTGTGGTGGTGTTATGTTCGTTGTCAGCTGCGGTGGTACAGCGATAGGTTGCGACGGCCTATAAGATTCTACAGTTGTAGGAGGAGGCAGGGCAGTGACACTAACACCATTGGTATTGGTCTCAAACCCAGGAAGCTGTGGAAAGAAGTCAGCAGACAATATCTAAGAATAATAAAGAGTGCAAAATACAAGAAAATGTACAATGAAAATATGACAGAAATGATGATAACATTGACAGTGAATATAAAGACAGTGAATATAAATAAAAACATCTAGAGAGAGACAGTGGTTAGTATTACTATTATAATAATCTATTTTTATTGATATAACATACAAGATCACCACCACCAGTACCTTTTACTTTAGTAACCACCACCACCGCTAGTTAGTTTAGATGAGAGTGTTAGAACAAAATGCATTAATGATAAAATTTAACTAAACTCAGATGGGTTATTTTGTTAGTTGTAAGGCCCCCAAAAAGTTGAGGGACTATGGGTTATTGGATGGTCAAAATACCTGAGTGGATTGTCCATTCTCGAATAAAAAGTCTGCATTGGGCTGGTCAGTTGGGACAGGAGGAGGGGCATCTGAAGGAAGGGGAGGGGGGTCACTATCTGGTTCCTCTGCGTACAAGTCAACATGAAATAAAAAAAGAAGAAGAAGAGATCGACACCGCATGAAAAAATAGAATACCCAAAAATGAAAGTTATAAGTGTCAGACAGGCATGAATCTACCCAGATAACATCAAATCAGCAGGCAACCCCAAGGTACATAGCAATGACCAGTATTGAAAACAACAATGCAGTCAATGTACAGGCAACAACAGTAAATGCAAGAATATCCCTCACTGTCCACTAAAGTCAAGAAGGCAAACACTGGTTAATAACATTATATTTACAAAACAAAAATGTATATATTGTAATGATTTAAAGTAATGAATTGAAACATGAAATTTTTACAACAAACGCGGCACTGTGTTCTGATAGTAATATCATGAAAGACCTTGATGATGAACTCTTGAAGCTAATTTTGGATAAAATTGCATTCATAATTTTATGACCACGTAGTCTGCCATGCACCTACCTGGTATACTATCTTCAGTAGCTATTTCCCCATGTAGGTACTCTAGCTCAACCTGGTGTCCACCGTGTGCATAGTATTGGGCGTATTTCGTTGCACCATGATCACTACTATCACTGTGTTCAGAACCAGTCAATGAAACGTTATCATGTGAACCACTGCTCAGTTCAGAGGTATTAGACCTGTCGTCCTTGCTGTGCCCGCTAACAGGGCTGTACTGGAATTTTCCAGAACCAGCGGAACTAGCTGATCCAGTTCTGTGGGTGTTATGTTGGTAGTTCTCAGTTTCTGGCGGTTGGTATTTAAGATTACTGTTTGCTGGCTGGTGACTTAGATTAATATCAACATCAACGCCTATGCTATTTGACGGCAATGGTGGAGGTATATCCATGGGAAAGCCTGATTCTGTTGGTGGTGGTGGTGTTACAGGTAATGCTGGAGGTAAGTCCTCGGGAAGAATTGGTGGTGATGACGAAATGTCTAAATTACCATTCTGTCTGTTGGGTATGAACATGGTGGGTTTGGGTGCAAGTTTTGGTTTTTCCGTCGAACCTTTCCTAACAGGGACAGCAATCGGTTTAGAGGGTTCTACAAAGTCAGATCTTGGTGACGGTAATGAGGAATGGGAAGAAGACATGGAATTTGAACGGGATGCTGGCTTTGAGGATATTGGGGTGCTTTTGCCCGATGAAGCACCACTCCCATGTGCCGAATCATATTCCAGTAACTGATGTGCTGGTGGTAGGGCTAAAGTATCAATAATAACAAAAGAAAAAGTAAAAAATCATAAATACAACAAAAAATACACAATATCACAACAAAAGACCACAAAATATCAATAATAATAAGATAAATAAAATAATCATAAAAAATGCACAATATGAAACTACTAGATCACAAACTCACAATATACCAAAAATACACAAACAAAATGTAAATTTCTGTTTGTTGGTGAATTCACACAACTACTTACTGGCGTGGAAATTAATTTTACTGATCCAGTCATTCATGTCTTCTGTTGATTTACAGGTGAACAGATATTCAGATGCATCAGCAAGTCTGTCATTGGAAAGAATTTTCACATAACATAACATAACATAACATAACATAACATAAATTACCATACATGAATTTAAAGAAAAACAGCAAAATGGCTGTTGATGAAATGTTACACATAATTTATCAAGATCCTTTACAAACTCAACTCTTGCAGAAAAAGTCACACCATAAAATCAAAACATTTTTCCAGATACAATTTATATTTTTTTTAATTTATTCCAAACAACAATTAACATTGTTATATACTTTCCATCAATGACAGTACAAGAAATTTCAAATTATCTTTGTATCATGTCAGTGATCATCCATAATTTGAAATGAAAATTCAACATCTTAACAAGGGTGAGAAAAAGTAAAACAATATCACCATAGTTACACATCCACTATATCACCATAGTTACACATCCACTATATCACTATTATAGTTATACCAGTACATTATCAGTTACACTCATTTTGACACCATCAATACTGTTACCATGGTTACTCACCGAACCCTGAATACATGTTTTCTCTTGGTATAATCTGTAGCAGGTGAACATGTACATTGGTACAAGTTTATTGGCGGGGATGCAGAATTACTCTGAAAGAAACAATACCAGATTATTTAGTTTGATCACAACATCGGTTCACAAGTTTTCTCTAGAATACTGAATATCCAAAGTGTACATACCATGGAGAATTCCTTTTTATCTTTGAAGAAGCACAACAACTGACCACACAATATAGTATAGAATGTTTTCCAGGACCGATGTGTTGACTGTAAAAACAAAGTATACATGTATGTTATTTAAAATCTAATTTAAACTTTTACTTTTTTTTAGAAAACTAGGGTGTTGTCATTCATAACGTGAAGACTGCCACTCAGCAATTAGGAAATTTCCTTGTCTGAACAACCTGGATTCTTGCCACACATCACAGTTTCAATTCTATTTTGGGTGTTAATCCAGGAAACATGTAATTATACATGAAGCACACATAGTTGTGCACTCTACAGCTTTCTGGTTGCAATGGATCTTAGACAGATGCCACAGGTGGGGGATTTTGAAATCCTAGCTTTTGTCACAATATAACACCTAGAAGTTCTGAAATCTTTGCACACAAAAAATCGTTCTTGATACCTGTTTACCAAGAATCATATTTTGTGTGCTAAATCCATGGATATAATCAATGATAACATGGTGCCACAACATTTAAATTAACATCAATTTTTGTATAAACATGCTTCAAAATAACGTTCTGTAATGAATTCTTTTTACATGGAAATAATCATTCAAAGACACAGTGGATTAAGTGTAATACTAATATATATATTTGTTGAAATTTATTTTCTACTGGGATGTATGACTGATGGGAGGAGGGAGTATGCAGGTTGGAAAAGCGATTTCAGATCTACAATCCAACTGTGCAATGCAACAAAACTTGCATCTTTTTTATCACCTCACTACAATAGATATTAACAGATGAGAAAAAAGTCACCCACCCGCTTTCCATTAGCAGCCAGATCTTGTTTTCGGTCAATAACACCTTCTCTCTCCACGGGTGGAGTGCCAGACTACAAAGAAACATTAATAAGGTGGTATAAGTTGAAAGATTAGCCACACTCAGCAAGACAAACAAATCAGAAAGATACTTACTAGTTTATTTAAACTCTGTCAGCACATAATTGCTATAACACAAACAAGAATGGGCAAACTCTGGGCTCCTATACCCAGCATACGCAATGAACATTCATTCCATATGGAAGCAAATGAAACTGTACATTGGAACTATACATTGCTATAAACACGAGGAATAAAATTGAATTATTATGTATATATGTTGGTATCTGGTGTCTGGCTCGTAGGTGTAATGACTACAGTTACTAACAGTGCTCGCCTGTAGTCTTCAGCATGACTAGCCAGCTTATGAAATTTTAACTACTGCGATATTTGAAGCCGCTTTTTATAAGGATGAAAAGAGTGAATGAGAAAGGTTATTTATACAATACTTGCAGCTATTTGTTTTTTTTTTCCTACCACTTGTCAACCAACTCACCAGCTTGTATTTTTGTGGCTTGAGAGCTTTTTTGCTACCTCCACCACTACCACCAACGCTAACACCACCACCACCACTACCGCGGCCAGCAACAGTAACATTACTACTACTACTACTGCTGCTGATGCTACGGGTCCTGGTGTTGTCTTCTTTTTTATGAGTTTTTACCTCATGCCGTTTCAGTTTCTTCTGTTGAGAGACATGCCGACATATGCAGAAACACAGAAAGGAGAATGAGCAGAAAGAAGAGAATGGAGTAAGCAATTTTGTACTTTTTTTTTATATTTGTGGGTGGGTCACACCAACGTTAAAAGATTGCATGCAGGAATTGTTGGAATGAGAAGATGCAAGAAAAAAACAACACAATGATATGAGTTACGTAGAGAGCAAGTTGATGATGATAATGGATGGAAATGATGAGATGTGTTTCTAAATATGTGACTACATGTCTGATATCACTAAGCAAAAAGCAATACAAGCCGGGATCTAACAATTAATTATGTTATTTTAAGTAGGGATTTGCTTAAAACTACTGTATGGTTATTGCCTATAACTAATCTACAAACACAAGCATATAATTACTTTAATAACTTAAAATTTAACTGAGCTGTTAAGTGGAGTGTACATGTGTGTGTGTTATGTCATATCATGCGGTTTGAACTGCAGGCATCGGCTACAGTAGATATGGCATTGCCATTCACAAGTACATGACTAGACTGTATGTCATTTATGTAAAATTGAAAACCGGTTAAAACCCTTCAGTTTTGAAAAGCAGTTTGAAATATGAAACAAGAAAATGTGCATCTATGTTTGAAAAGCCAGGCAAAAACTAAATTGAAACCATTATTTAAAATACAGTCAAGCAGTAAAACACAATGCACATGCCTTTGTTGTTAGTTTTTTAAAAAGTGCTTTTCAAACTGCTTGTAACAATTCTGAAATAGTAATATTTTCCTCCATGAGGGGTAAAGAAGAGGGGTATTTATAATTAGTCTTTTGAGTAATGAATTAGACTTTAGATTCTATGTTTTTTGCATTTTTGAAATAGAATATCTATCCCTACCTGCTCCTCTTCTATTTTCCTCTCCATCTCAACTTGTCTATGTTCTCTTTCTTTCATCTCCTGTTCCTTCTTTAACCTTTCCTCCTCGATCTTTGCCGCAATCTTTTTCTGTTCAGCTTCCCTCTTTCTTTTGGCTTCCTCTTCCATCATCATCTTCCTCTCTTGTTCCTTTCGCCTTTCTTCAAGGATCCTTTCTTGTTCTCTCTTTCTAATAAGCTGCAACCGGTCTTGCTCTTTCCGCTCCTTTTCCTCTTGTTTTCGTTTCTGCTCACTCTCTTTTTGTTTTTCAAATTCACCCTCCAGCTATGGTCAAAGATAAATGGATATTCTTTGAGTACTTTGATGAAAATTAAGATTGCATCAAAATTTCACTCTACCCTGCCATAACATTTGGAAAGATTTATATACCAAACTGTGACTGGTCACATAGTGAGGTCCTTAAACTGAATCACAGTAAATCACAGTAAAGCCTATGCAAATCTGATACAAAAACATTCTTTCGATTTCTTGTACTTCAATACTGTGCACCTCAAGCTTAATAATCAAAGTGCACTTTATTATTTTTCTCTTGAAATGCTGACACAAATATAAAAACAAGCAGCCTATCGGCTGAGATAGCTCCGCTGT